AAGTTTAAATTAATTTTCATGTGAGCATATTAACTTTGTTGGTGTTGATAATTGTTCACGTTTGTAGCGGACCCAAATTTTTTTTATTTATGTCTGTATATTTAGGGGTGGAGGTTCAGAGGTGGTGACCCCAAAAAAATTTTTAAAGAAAATTTTAAATTTATTAAAAAATAAAAGCATATAAACAAAAAAAAAACTTGAATTTAATACAAAAATAAAGTACCTTCTGGATCCTCAGAAAAAATCACGAGATCCAATTTAATCCTTTAGAAAAAAATTGACCTGTGATCCCTCTTAATTCCAAAATAAAGTACCAGTTGCCAAAAATGCTGCGTCTTAACGCAGTACACAAATCATCGCATCATTATGCATTACATTGGTAATATATTTGACCAAGAAATTAATTCGGTCAAACTTTAAAAAAAAACTTAGCACGGTCAAAAGGTTGTAGACCAAGTCTTGTAAGTAGCATATTCGGTTAGTTTTATCGTTGTAATGGGTGAGAAAGTACTCGAGATAACGCCAATAGTGTTTTTGATCACATTACTTGAGCCCTCCATCACAAATCAGATGTAAGAACCTGCAAAAACAAAATAGAAGACCAGAGAACAATAAGGAAGCGAGAAATTACGCGAAATCATTGCGAAAAAATATCCAAACAACAAGTTTTTCGCTGATATCTTCCTAACATATGAGACCTATAATGAACGGAGACCAGATATGGAAAGAGGATCAGAAGACGAGCAAGATGGTGGTGGTCCGACCCGGAACGGTGGCCAGACGCTCTCTCACGCTCCGAAAAAGTGGTGCAGTAGCCGAAATCTTCCACAGGTGATCCAATGTCGACACAACTTGGATAGATGAGGTCGCCTCCTCGAGCCGATCCTGGTCAGATAGTTGTTCGCCGAAAAACTTGCCAGAAAAGTGCTCAGGCGGTGGCGAACAATGGCGGATGGTTACTTTCGGCGATGAACGATGGGTGACAATGGTTTTTTTGACGATCTGAGGTTGAGGATAAATGGTTGTGACCAACTGAGGGTTAGGTACTGAAATTGGGTCGCTAGTATGATGCACGACACAGATGACTTGCCGGAATGATGCACAACAGGGGTTTTCTGCGGTAGCGAGGTTTCGCAGAACACAAGCTCTGGTACCAACTTGAGAATATGGAATTATGAATATATTTTATTGTATTAAATTGAATTGTGTAAATAACTGTACAAGAGCTCTCTATTTAAATAGACTAAATGACCTAATAGGTTAAGTTCAAAGAAGCTTCTAGAGTAGTCTAACTAATCTAACCAATAATACAATATTATCTTTAACACCAATCAAGAAAAGTAAACCTTGTGCAAGTTGATTGACTTGGTGGATGTGTGCTTGTTCCTTTTGAGAACTGCCATAGGTTTAGTTTGAGAGCAAGAACAAAATTCTGATTGCATATATAATTGAACACTAAAGAGATACATGGTTAGGCTGAATGAATGTATATAAAATGAAAGGAAAAATGGTGATAGTCTATTTTTGATAGTGAATCATGGATGTACACAGACTTTTGGTGGCTGGAGTATATGTGATAATTTTTTTTGTGGTGATTGATATGAGGAGTTGTATAAAATAAATATACATATATGTGTAGTTTCATATGAGCACAGAAATGATATTGTGTCATATTTTGAGAATTGTATGTAAACAAGTCCGATTACTATATTTTTTACATGAAAATCATGAATACATTTACAAGTGCTTTCGAGTGTAAGCAATGTCATTGTTGCATCACGACAAATATACTGGTCGTACAAGTAATAAAGTAATAAGTAAGATATCATTCCCACGATAATTGATCTATCAAACACTAATTTCACTTTGTGGTCAAAGTTGGATCAACCTATAAGGATTTTTGTGAATATGATTGAAATATAAAAATGGATACTAAGACTACCAAACAATTATCAAGAAAGAAAACAAGAGCTCAGATTGAAACTTAGAATAAAAATCAACGATGCAAAAGCGTAGCTAGGATTTCAACTTCCCCAGTCTCTTCCTAATCAATCTACCCTTTCTTAATCAATTTCCAAACTAATGTTATTGACAATTCATCATATATTAATCAAAACTCAATCCATTGGTGTTTCAATTCTTTGACCTAGTAAGAACCCTAATTCCTTAGTGATTCCGTTTAGGGCAAGTATTAAGAGCGATGGATCAAAGCAGTAATAGGTTTCGTTAGCCTATCCTTAGATCAAACAAAACCTTGCAATTAATCAAATCTAAATTTCACACCAACATCTCTATTGTCATGCAAAATTCATGTGTTCATCTAAGATTAGCCAAATCATAATCGAAACTAGGAATGAAGAATAGATTAATTCCATAACATGGAAGATTGAATATTAAATTGAAAGAAAAGAATAGATAACATCAAGAATCCATTGGTTCCATCTAACCATAACTACAAGAAAATCTAACCTGACATAGTAAAGGAAACTAGAATAATATATGAAAAACTAGAGAAATCCATAAAAAGAACTTGATAACTGGTCTCTTCGGTGAAGCTTTGACCCTTCCTTCATTTCCTCGGTCCCAAATTAGAGCTTTTTCCTCTTCTAGGTCGTAGAAAATTGAATAACTTTTGTCTTATTTGGTTCCCCTTTTAATAAAAAGATCCATGGACTTTTTACGATGATGTTCATTGAGTTTGGAAAATATGCAACAATGGCCTTGCTCGCTAAGTTAGCTCACTTTAGCGAGGAAACACTAGAATGCTTAACGAGCATAACTTGGCTTGAATTTTGTCTTCCTCTAGCTTCCCTGATTAGTCCTTACTCTATCATAGCAATTTTAACCTAAAATCGATACATTTTTCAATCAGTATCAAACTAAGTATGAAAACTCCAAAGTCTTTTGCAATTAAATAAAAGTCACCATGTCTTTAACCATATTCAACAATATTAAGCACAATTTGATCCAAAAAACATGATATGTTTGACACTTAAGAAACATTTATTTGTTGATATGTAATAAGGATGGTATAATCCTTAGAAAATGAATGGTTTACTTGAGTTGCTGAGCCATAAATACTGTATATCTTGTATAGTCGAGGCTAAGTATACATGTTGGAATGCTGGGAGAACCAAATCAAGCAAAAACTTTAAGAATTTTCCACATAATTAGCTTGTGTCCAGAAAGTATGGTTGGGCAGTTGAATACTTCACAAAAAGTAGGAAGTATTTGAATATTTTTTGTGCAGTATTCAAATTGTTTCCCATAATGGCTGGGAGTTTGAATTCCTCCTCAGAACTAAGATTGAAACTTTCGGCTCATGATCTAGATTGGCTCTATTTCACATTCTTAAATTGAACGTCCACCCAAATGTGTTAATGCTAAAATAACACTTAAAAAAATACTACTTAAATTTTTTTTGAATCACTAAGAATTATTTTCATGAGCATGAACTAGGAACATGGCATATGCGCTTTAGACCATGGTGGTGTCATTAATATAATGCATATGGAGTGTCATACTAATAGACCTAATGTCAACTAAAAAGCACAAGTTTAAAAACGTAATGTGTCATGACATGTTCAGATCTTCATAACTTCAAATATCAAGATTAGTTATAACCGTCTCATATTATATATTCCAATTGTTGCACAAATAAATTATTCTTAAGCAAGCCATAAAGGATACAATTGACATACCCTATTTTCAAATTGAGTCAAGAACATGATTAGAGGGAAAAACAGTTAATTCATATAAAGCCATTAAATTGACTAAATTAACAACCTGATAACTTAAGAAGCTAGATTACTTCACAAAATTGGGGGTGTAAATAGGTTGGGATGGGCTAAGCTATGCCTTAAAGAGATCAGGTCTGTGTAAAATGTTTTAGGCTTAACCTGATCTATTAGCCTGTATAGGCCTAAATTATAAGTCTGGCATTACTTATATTTAAAAAAGTAAAAGCCTTAGCCTAGACCTGTTAGCCTGATTACCTATTAGACATTCAATAGTTAAAACAAATAATTAAAATAATAATTTTATTATTCAAAATCATTAAGATAAAAATTTATTTATTTTATTTAAAATAAATAATATGATATATGCCGACTTATAGGCTCATAGGCCCGATAGGTAAAAGAAAGTCTATGGCTTGCTTTGTAAATAGATTTTTTTTTAGGCTTGAGCCTATTCTATTTAACTATATATAATAGGCCGAACTTGATATGATATAAACCAAGTCGTAGGCCTCTGTTAGGCTGACCGGGTCATTTACACCCAAACACAAAATAAAAAATTGTGTAGGATAGTTGGATTTTTTTTCCAACTTGAACTAACCTTTTCACAATCGATTTGGTATTGAATTTTGTTTTTTCCAATCTAATCAACCAATCCCATTACTTTAAAATAATATTTTAATATAAATCAATATTGTTTTAATCAATATTTTAAAATAAGAAGGAAGGATAAAAACCTAATAGAAGAAAATTGAAAATAATAATAATAATAATAATAATAATAATAGTTTGAGTATTCTATTCATATTGAATGAACATCACCTTATAATATTAAATTAAAACAAAAGCTTAACCAATACTTATTATTATTATTTTGAAATAACTAACACTTAAATTAAATCACTTTATTTACCAAAAAAAATAAATCACTTTCACTGGTTTAATGTTTCAAATCAACATCCCTTTTAAATAGGGTATAATCCCCTTAAGTTGACGACGCAATTGTCATAAATGGATAGAGGAAGTACATTTGAATTAATTGTACCAGGGGTGGACAAAAATTATTCAAAACAAAACAGATGGCAATTATGTCATACCAACAAAAATTCGAGCAGTTTTCGAGTAATTTTACTTTGGATTGTTGAGGTGTCCTGCGGAAAAATCCAGTCCTTTTCCTAAATAAAGTGAATTTATCATACTTAGGATAAGAATAAATGAAAGATCAAGGGCTAAAAAAGAAAAACAATTATTTTCTGAATGGCTTTCTAAAGATTTTCATTTCAAACATACTCTGCTTTCTCTGTTTCAATCTCCATGTGTGTGGTCTATAGACTATACTAATCTCTCCTTTTTCCATTCATAAAGAAACTCAGCAAAACAAAAGCACACATAGTTTTATTACTATGCTTGAATGAAATTGAATCACTTCACTTTTGTTGTCTCTTATCCACTTTCCCTTCACTTCACTCTCTTCAACATCACAACCTTGCCATGTTGAATGATCCAACATCTTCCACTAGCCATGGAGTAGTGGATGATCACCAAGAAGAAGAAGAAGAAATAAGAGAAATCCATGCCTTGACACCACCTCACCCTCCACCAACCACCAACCGTGGCCGTCGAAGAGAGCCTTGGGAAACACATAGCCACCGATCATCGAATCTTTCCATGGCTAGCACAGAAGGTGCTTCCAGTGAGAACTTCACAACCATGAGTAGAGAGTTCAGTGCTCTAGTTATAGCAGGATCAAGTATTGACCACAACAACAACAACAACAACAACACGAGTCCTATGATGAATAACCATGACAATGAAGGAAGAGGAAACCATGGTGGGAACAACAACAACAACAACAACTTGGGTAGGATTGGAGAAGAGGACTTGATGGTTGAGACCAACCCTTTGGCGATCGTGCCAGATAATCACCCATTTGACCTTGCTCCATCTCATGGAATCTCTGGTTCAAGTTCCAGTGTTCAAGGTGAAGAAGTAGTGTCGGTGCAGAGGGTGAAGAAGGAGGAGGTTGATGCAAAGATATCAGCTTGGCAGAACGCTAAAGTTGCTAAGATTAACAACAGGTTCAAGAGAGAAGATGCTGTGATCAATGGCATGGAGAGTGAGCAGGTTCAGAAAGCTACTTCATGGATGAAGAAAATTGAGGTAACATTTTTTTTTTCTTTCTCACGGTGTTATTTGCATGTTGCTAGTTAATGGTTTTGCTTTTTTATTTTTATTTTTTATGTTCTTTTTTGTCTGTGGTAATTATTCTTAGTGGTTGATTAGGCTTCTTTGCGTTTATGATTACTCTTAGGACTAAAAGCAGAGTATTGATCATTGATCCAACAATAGATGAGCAAGGTTATGTGTGAAATTAAAGAAAGATTAAATAAGGTGAGCTAATGAATGAGTGTCCCTATGATTGTTTCACTATTTATTATTATTATTGTTCTCTATGATGGATTTATATCTGGATTTATATATGTTATATAAGAAAAGGTGGGGAATTATTTTCCCTTGGTTGTTGAGGAACCGAAAAAAAAAAGGAGGGAAAGAACTAGTATTGTATGAAAAAGTAAATCTAAATTCGTTTTCAATCTTATTTCCTTAATTATCTTTCTCTATTCTTCACGAGGGTTATATTTATAAATTTTTTGTTTACAAACTATACTATGTACTTTCAGAAGTAAACTAAGTTACACTACGTAGTTCCGGAAGTACATAATATAATTTGCAAAAAATTATAAAACAAGTTTGTAAATGGATGAATTCTCATTCTTTATTATAGTGTCAGCAGCAGCACCTATTTTGTGTATCTTGGTCGTATATATGGGGTTTATTTTATTTTTTTTGCAGTCATTTCTAGGGCTTGATCATATAATACAGAGTCACAAACTGAAAATGATGTGAAGACATCACGGGAAATATGTTCTTTGAAAAGTTGATTTAATACTAATAAGCTTCTTATTCAACAAACTAGCCTTCTTTTTTTCTTTAATTGGCTATTTGATATTTGAAGTTAAAACATCAACTACCTGCAATCAATTTCTATAAACAATATATTTTTTGGTGAATATAACCTGGTGATATGAAAAGGGGCTCCTATGGTTTGTATTTATTGCCTTGTTATTGAAGCTACGCAAGAAAGAGGTGGAAATGCGTTACCCACCACACCAGCAAATAGCAACAAGTTATCCAATGATTTGATTTTTATGTTAATTTCAACTAACATTATTACGTGGTTACGGTAGTGTAACAAAACGTTGACTAACTTAACACCTTGGATTCTGTACACAAAGTGATAAATGTGTTTTGTTCATTATGAACCAAAAAATCTCATGTATTGTGCAGAGGAAGCTGGAGGAGAAAAGAGCAAGAGCGTTGGAGAAAATGCAAAATAAGGTAGCAAAAGCTCATAGAAAAGCAGAGGAGAGGAGGGCATCAGCAGAGGCAAAAAGGGGTACTAAAGTGGCCAGGGTTATGGAGCTTGCTGGCCTTATGAGAGCAGTTGGAAGAGCTCCTGCTAAAAAATCCTTCTTTTAATATTTTTTTTTCTTTTTTATTTTCAAACTTCATTTGAAACACATTTTTAGACGAACAAAATGGAAAAACAAGGAACATTATGGGCATAATAATAGATGCCATAGTCTATAAGAGCCCCTTTTCCTTTTTAATTTACTAAAGGGTGCAAGATGGTTAGTAATGAGCAGCAGTATTAAAAAAGAAAAGGAAGATAAGGAGATATGTATTATATCATATGAAAACCAATTGGGGTGTTTTTGAGTGATTGAGTACAGTGTCTGAATTTGGTGAGTGGTGACATATATGCTTATTTGATTGTGTTAGTTATAAACACTTCTGGGTTTTGTACATAAATATATATGTATATTACTTCTTTTAATTAGTTGGATCCCATCACTTGCAAATGCCCACATCACACCTAACTGTGACCAGTGCCTACCAACATTTGTACTGATGTGCTCTCAAATATGAGATTTTGGCTTACCAAACGGTCCCAGACAAAGCAAACTTTTTGGTACAACGGATGTATGAAATTTTTTTAGGACATAGAGTAAAAAATATATATATATATATATATAAACACAATGGTTAAAATAGAAAAAAAAAAAATTACCCAATTTAATAAACGGATGTACCGATTCAGTACACCCATAATATTAAAAAAAAATTCCTATCTCAGGGGATAGATATAATTGTTTAGCTTAAGGAATTGCATGCTTAACGCACTAAAATGTATACCTTAAACGTGGAGAGAGCAATATATTCTTGTTCCATTCATTAGGTTCAATCCAAATTATGAAGCAATTGGCGATCCATGACAAAGATTAGACATCTGACAACTTACATAAGATGAGAGAAAGAAATCAACTCACTAGTGATGTTCTACTTATTCACTGAATTTTTGCACGTTTTACCTATTACTTGTTCAACTTATTCCTGTAAATATATTTCCATCATCAATTTGATTTAATTTTTTTAATTAAATCTTTATACGTTCAATTATTTTTAATGTAGTTTTTACTGTCTATTATTATTACAAGTTTATAACACTAAAGTATTCGCCGGGACTAAATTAAAATTAACGATTATTGTATATAGCGACCAAAAGCGACAGTTAATATTGTTGGTCTTCATATATGATAATCCTCCATGTCAGCCTCATGGTGTTATAGAATATGGAGACAGTATTGAAAACAATTATACATATAAAAATTAAATTAAAATATTCTTTTTATATAGAGACTTAGTTAAAAATGAGTGTTATGCATAAAGATAAAGACTATATTTTAACCTTAATTCAAAGATGAATACTAAAGATACCAAAAGATATATATAAGTCAATGATAGTCAAACTCTGATCAAATCCTAATAAGTTAATAGTTTATAATAACTAAAAGATTTTATCAAAATAAAATTTTTCGAAAATTAAGGAAAGATATCAGATTTCTTAATTTTTTTTATAAATAACCTTTTTCCACTATAGCTATGGTACAATTTATCCCATTGAGCTATGTATTGCAATATTAAATTAGCACGTGATAAGATAAAAATATAATTAATATCATAAGAAAATAATGGTTCTAAAATCTTGTTCACAAAGAGTATATATTGTTAGCTCCATATATAGTTCACTTCGTATTATTTTTCAAAAAAATATTCTAGAGATGGATAAACAAAAATTTGCTTTTATAATTGTATTAGATTGGTTGAATTTGAAATTCAAATTTCATATATAAAAAAAATGAGATACATGTAAATATACACACTAAATGGAGATTAGGATCATTAACGATAGGTATACAATTAAAGGTTTTCAGTTGTTTATACAAAAATGGATTAATCATGGCCAGATTTAAGATAGAAGCTAATAGTGCATTTGGTGTTCTTCTTTTTCCCAATTTTAAATCGATTTATTTTTTCTAATATTACAAAAAATGCTACTTCAATGAATTGTGCATAATGTAAGGCCTTCAATTAGTTCTGAATTCTGATGCTTATTACGTATATGTGAGGGAAGTGAATAGGAAAAAATAAAAGTATGGGCTTGAGAGCCCACAACACACCTAATTCTGCTACAGGAGACATTACGTACTATGACTTAAGTACTAACCCTTGTGAGTTGTGTCCATAAAAAAATAAAAGAGAAAAGCTCACCGATGTCCTTATGGTTTGTTTCAGAATCACCTATATTCCTGTGGTTTTTTTTTTTATCACATGTGCCTCTGTGCTTTGTTAAAAATAAAAAACCACAGGGACATATGTAATAGAAAAAAACCCACAGGAGCATAGATGATTTTGAAGCAAATTACAGGAATATTGGTGAACTTTTCCCAAAATAAAAATAATCGAGGAAAAAATCAAACTCAACACCAACAACTAGACATTTTAATTCTAATGCTTAATGATTTTAAGGTTGAACTCATCGTATTAATGGTTCTCCTCAAATGACATCAACTAGTTATAAGATTGGTATATGTTTAGTTATTCTGTGGCCTGATTTTTTTTTTTTTTTTTTCCTGTTGTTGTTGTTGTAGGCTTAATGACCCAAAATTAGAATAGGGTAATTCAGAATACCCAGGTCCATTTTCGTTGCGAAGTAAACTGGTATAGAAATTTACCAACCAATGCCACTCGCCTAGCCCAATGGCCTTGGAAACCAACGAGATTCTAATTCATGCCTAGAAGACTTTGGGCCATTGTTTGAATCCATAATCAGAAGCATCCCTGGACCTTCACATGTACTAGTCTATTTCTGATCTATTCTTGACCTTCACATGCCAGTACCAAAAAGATAACTAAAGCTTGTTCTTATCACTATGGACATGCTCAAGTGAAATTTATTATAACTGCATAATAGATTTTTCAGAGAATGTTTGATAGTAAGTCCTAGGCTGACATCATTATATAAACCTGGACTTTGTTTTATTTTTTGCTAGTCCAACATTTATTAATATCATAAATCTTTAAGTTTGTTACTCTGCATTAACAAATTCATAATGCTATAGTAGAGCAATTTCTTTATCATGCTCCCTTATGCAGTGATTCTTGATACACCATTAATGTGAAGAATTAAAGAGCCTACTGCTTTTGGCCATTGAATGCATTAGTTTATAAGATTTCCTCATTTTGAATGTAATGACAAGAGATTCAGATCATACTGATGAAACATTCTTAAATAGGTGAAAATTTTAAATATAAAATTTCTTCATGTGCACATTTAATCTATACTTCGACATTACAAGTCAAGTAGCAGTGTTATGAATCCTGAATCTTGTGGTACTTCTAATTATTCACGTGTGTATCTAGAAGCATTACAAGATTGTGGATTCATAATAAGCAGTATAACTTTTTGTCAAGTTCATATCGTTCTATTGATTTTCTTTATGATCACTACTAAACATCATGGTAGCTATTGATAGGAGATGAACAACTTTTGCACTCGCTGAGACCTAAAATATATAGTCATATTGATTCATTGATCATATCTTTTTGGTTTTTTTCCAACAACTTCTGCTTAAATACAATAGATAAGTTACCTAAAAGGCCAAAACGACGTGGTTTTGGGAAGAAAATCAAGATATTTTTGTAATTATAATTTATTTCAGGATTATAATAGTTTTTTTATTATAATTTTTTTATGTTTCAACTCAAAATAATATCGTTTTAGGAGTGAATATAAATAATTTTTTTACATTTATGGTAGAAACATTAGAACCATACAATAATCATCATGGGGTTCTTTGACCCTGTGATCACACCAAAAAACAGAAAACAAAAATAATCGCTGTGTCACAATCTATACAAATTTGGGAGCCTAGCACTCACATTGAAAATGAAATTATGCATTAGGATGAATTATTTTGGAGGCTATTCTACTAGCTAACAAGAGTCAAGTGCGGGAATCATGTTAAACAAATGGAAAAGGTCCTGATGATGAATTTCAACCGCAATACGTATAAGTTGGACTCTATTTAATCTCAAGTTGCGGATATGAAGTTTCTGTGAAATACAACATAATGTCGTCAGCAGATATAGGTATGTGTTTATATCTTTGTGTCGGGTGGTAAGAAGATAACATCATAGACCCACAAAAACAATTTTTTTAGAGGTATACGGGCATCATGTATGAATATATGCTACATCATGGATTATGTCACCCTCACTCTCGTTGCATTCCATTGGTTTAACTAAACAAAGTTGACTTTAATGTCTTTAGTTTCTAGAACCAAATTATTCATCATCAACTGGGATTCTTCCACGTCAATAATTATATACATGTCATTGTTGACTTGGCTCAATACAACTACTTTACACACAAGAATCTCACTGAACATATATTGGGAATAGATGCATATTTGTTAGAGAATTATATAAAAGGCCTATTTGATGTGATGTATAAGGCTTGATAGTATAAATTTATATTATACGTTATGATATTTTTAGTTGTTTGGTGTAACCATCGTATAATATAAGCTTATACAGCAGAACTTCTTAATACATCAAAATGATGTATAACTTAATCAGGCCTAAGGGGGTGAGATTAAGCCTGATAAGGAATTGATGTATTAACACTACAAGAAAAAATCTTATTAGTGTCGCAAATTTCGTCACTACATATGAAATTTCGTCACAAATTCCTGAGTCGCAAATTTATTTGTGACGAAATTTGATTATTTGTGTCGAAAATTGTCATTTGTGACGAAAATTTTTGTCACAAATGAACTTTTTTCTTGCAGTGTAATATTCTTTACAAGAACTAATAAATTATTTTAATATTAATATATTAAAATAATTTTTTTAATATATTAATTTTTAAAATATTGGAGAATATTATCTTATACAATACCATACCAAACGCTGGATAGTATTAAAATTTAATAAGGTCTTATACAATCAGATCTTATACTATCAGGCCTTATCCAATACTATGCACCAAACATGCCCAAAGTATTAAAAAGACTATCACCTAATACTTTAAAGTTTTGGGTTGAAATTGTTCTTTACATGGTATTAGAGCTTCAGGGATCACGAGGTCAATCCTCACCGCCCCCACTTTTACGTGGAATTAAGAAAAACACAAGGCATACCAAAAAAATAGGCTTGTGCAGCACAAGACAGATCGGTAATGAGCTTGTGTCATATCCACGCTTCAAGCCCAAAAGACTCTTGTGTGAGAGGGTGTGTTAAAGAATTATATAAAGTATTAAAAAAACCATCACCTAACAACTTAAGGTTTTGAGTTGAAATAATTCTTTACATTACCCTATATATGGTTCCTTAGCTCATTTATTTGGCTTTTTTTTTACCTCTATAGCCTTTTTTTAATAATTAATTATCAAATTGACCCTATTTATAAATTATTTCAAAAATTTAACCTCTCCAGAAAA